TATATCACTGGCTACTCTTCTGTTTATATTTAACCGGTTTTGTAATATATCACTAGCTCCTCTTCTGTTTATATTTAACCGGTTTTGTAATATATCACTGACTACTCTTCTGTTTATATTTAACCGGTTTTGTAATATATCACTGGCTACTCTTCTGTTTATATTTAACCGGTTTTGTAATATATCACTAGCTCCTCTTCTGTTTATATTTAACCGGTTTTGTAATATATCACTGACTACTCTTCTGTTTATATTTAACCGGTTTTGTAATATATCACTGGCTACTCTTCTGTTTTTATTTAACCGGTTTTGTAATATATCACTAGCTCCTCTTCTGTTTATATTTAACCGGTTTTGTAATATATCACTGACTACTCTTCTGTTTATATTTAACCGGTTTTGTAATATATCACTGGCTACTCTTCTGTTTATATTTAACCGGTTTTGTAATATATCACTAGCTACTCTTCTGTTTATATTTAACCGGTTTTGTAATATATCACTGGCTACTCTTTGATATAAAAATGATAAGACCAAAAGATAACTAAACTTTATTTTTTCTGAAACGTAATAAACTTAACTTTAAAATTGATATGAAATGTACACATTTTATTTTTCAATTAAATTTTTCTTAATTTACATTTTTAAAGTATTTTTTTAAAAACTCAGGTTTTAAAATAAGCTACCTTATTATTAAAGTTTCAAATCAAAACCTAATTAAAAAGTCCATAAATTAACATCAGCATTAAAGTATTTTAAACGTTAACATTACTGTAATACATTACTGAAATCCTACAGGCTACTTTACTTACTACGTCCTGAATAACCTTAAAAAAAGAACAATTAGGTAAAAAAAAGAAAGGATTAAAGTTTTCTTACACATATTCATCCTGAAATGAAACCATATTGAATTACAGTTTATATATATATATATAAAATGAGGAGGACATTGCTCTTCAGGCCTCGACATATCATGGAAAGAAAAATACTTATAACTCCCTGAACGAATATTATTATCTCAGTACCTCAGATATCAATACTTAAGTTTACAATTGGGGTATATTTCATAGCTTTAAACAACATATGGCAGTTTTTAGCCAAATAATTCTATTATTTCTCTGTTGTTGTTTTTTTGCTTTAAATTACGTCCATAATACCAAGTTAGTTGTTAAATAACATTTAACTTATTTGTAACTTTCATATAGTTTCAAATGACCTGAGGGATCAACAGCCGGGATGTACAATTTTGCTCTTTAAAAGTGGATAAACTAATACAACAATGGATGGGGAATCGGTAAATATAGCAAAGGATCAAACCCAGTTTTTGTCTTCGGATTCAACTCCTGTTCAAGAGTTTGCTTCGAAACGCGAAGGCCAGCTTTCACTAGATGAGAAAAAGTTCCTGCTATCAGTGGAGAGGGGTGATCTAGCTTCAGTCCGTAGGTACGTTGTAAACGATAAGTAATTAAATATGAGTTTCTTCTAGGCTTGATTGCGGTTCTAGGCAGCGTGGATCTTGTAGAAATTCGTTATGAACTGTTTCAACTTCGTTTCTTGAGATGGAAAACGTTTCGGAAATAAGTTGCACTTGTTTATTTAGTAATGTGAGAAGCTTCGTTCAATAAACTACAAGTGTGGTTTTATAGAAAGTTACTGTGGGTGTGGATTATGACTAACTTATAATAAAGCGACGTCGATGACTTTGGTGGTGAAAGTAGCGAGTAGACTAGTGAATAATTCGTATAAGATAAGGTATCGATATCCAGTATGTTTTAAATCCTTGATAAGTTATTTTACCAGCAATCCTGAAAAAAAAACGTATCTTACAAACAAGACGAAAGATAGTTGGTCACTTTAGTTAAAATAGTCAACCAAACAACCAAAACAAGAAAGATGGTTGGTCACTTTAGTTAAAATAGTCAATCAAACAACCCAAACAATAAAGATAGTTGGTCACTTTAGTTAAAATAGTCAATTCAACAACCAAAACAAGAAAGATGGTTGGTCACTTTAGTTAAAATAGTCAATCCAACAACCAAAACAAGAAAGATGGTTAGCCACTTTAGTTAAAATAGTCAATCCAACAACCAAAACAAGAAAGGTGGTTGGTCACTTTAGTTAAAATAGTCAATCAAACAACGAAAACAATAAAGGTGGTTGGTCATTTTACTTAAAATAGTTAATCCAGTAACTAAAACAAGGCCAACACCAATATTTCCAACCTAACCTTCAATAGTAATATCCAACACCAACACTTCCAACCTCACCTTCAATAGTAATATCTAACACCAACACTTCCAACCTTACCTTCAATAGTAATATCCAACACCAATACTTCCAACCTTATCTTCAATAGTAATATCCAACACCAATACTTCCAACCTATCTTCAATAGTAATATCCAACACCAATACTTCCAACCTTACCTTCAATAGTAATATCCAACACCAATACTTCCAACCTTATCTTCAATAGTAATATCCAACACC